GGCCTCAGAGCCCGAGGGTCCCGGCGGGCCGCGCCCCTCGGAAGGGGCCGCGTGTGCACGTCGGTGCCTCTGAGTGGTCTCCGCCAGAGACTCGGGGGAGAGGGGCCGGCCCCGAGGGCAGTGGGAGGCACGGCCTGGACTCAGCTGCCCACAGAGGGGGCCACGCGGAACAGGCTCCCCGCGCCTGCCCGGGGCCCTGCGGGACCTCCTGAGGCACCGAGACTGAGTGGCCGTCTTCGGCCTCTCAGACGCCACCTGTGGTCCACGCTCCTCCCGGTGAAAATCCAATCCAGTTGCTCCTTTAGAAAACGAATCCCTTCCACCCGTATTTACTGAGCGCCTACTATGTGCCAGGCTCTCTGCTGGGTGCTGAGGACGTTACCGCGGAGAAGACAAACTGGCCCTTTTGTGAAGTCGGTGGCATATTTCACTTTGATGAACTAATGCTCAGAAAAGGAACTGGAAAGGTATCAGTGATTTGAAATTGTCTTCGCAGCATCCGTTAGTGTATGAGAGGGACGCCCAGGCCCCCGGAGGGCCACCGACTGGCCTGTGGGCCACAGCGGCCCCCAGAGCTGCTGACGAGGCAGGCGGCCAGGTGCCACGGCCCGTCCGCCGCCCACACAGTGTGTGGACGCCTCGTGAGCAGCGTGCACACACAGGCCTCGCACCCCGTAGTTGTAACGGTGAGTCGGAGACCGGTTCTCGGTGTTGAACACAGAAGCGAAGCACGCGTCGCTGCGTGAACACACGTGTTAACACGTTGTACGTGAATCAGTGGTCGTCCTGACAAAAATTAAACGTCGCCACAGTTAAAAGATTTTAAATTACGTTCGTGCCAGGAGTTCACGGGAGGCGTCGCTGCACCTGGCGTTTTAGCCCTAAGTTTCTATTCTGAGGAGCCCGCCGAGGCGGAGCTGGGACCCGGGTCTCTTCGGGGCCCTCGCCCTAGAGACGGCAGGGCCGAGTGGCTTTGATGCCGGAGGACGTGCGACTCACCATTACGATCCAGAGCGATGAGCAGGCGGGCAGAGGCGAGGGCTAGAGCCGAGGGGAAGCAGGCAGTCCGGCTTCCGCTTAGGGAGAGCGAGCAGGTCGGTTCACATCCGTGGGCAGAGGCGGCCTCTGGGGAGCCTGGGCCTCCATCTGCTATAAACCAGCCACCGGGACGTGTGGGGAGCCTGGCGTCCCACCCAGAGAGGCCAGGAGCCCTTCCCCTGCCACAGGGAGTCTGAGCAGGGCCACGGGGCTTTGTCCCCAGCCGCACCCCTCTCCCCCATGCAGTAGGCCCCCCCACGCCGTAACCGAGCCCCAGGCTGGTGAACGGCGAGGCGGGCAGACCCTCCAGCGCCGCCGAACAGCGCGCACAGAGAAGGCCGGCCGCCCGCGAGCCGGCCCCAGTAACGGCTCCTTCCTCTCTTGCAGCTATGTCTGGGCTGGTAGTCCCGCCCATGTGAGGGCCTTTTGTTTACCTCCGCAGCGCCCAGCACCCACGGACGGACTTCAGGGGGCACGCCCAGGACACTCAGACATGCTGATGGAGACAGTGTCAAACACGTCGGCAGCGGTCGAAATGCTACGAAAGACTTTGTTTAAAGATTTTATTTAAACTGTTAAGAATCGACATGCAAACAGCCTACTTCTTCATGAACAATTCCATTTTATTGACTGAACTTTTCTCATATTTTCACACTTCTCGGTCCTGAAGAGTAAGGAAATCAAAGCGACGCCTATTTTGTATAAAGTTTCTGACTCCGTCTTGGCCATGTCTAGTACTTGCTATGTGTCGGGAGAAAGTTTGTGAATGCATCATGAAACCCTGATGAAAACGCCTCCAAACATTTTTCTGTACTCATCCTTAGATTCACAATGGTTGTGTATCTCTATAATGTGAAATATTTTTCTGTGGTGGAAAAAGGGGGCCAAGGAGGTATGAGCCATCGAACCGGAAGAAAGGATGACTATGTGAGTAGGAGAACTCGGGGTGGCAGGGAGGGAGGGAGGGTTTATCATTGCTTACCTTCATCTTAATGAAATGGAACTTTGTAACTTATTGTAGTTAGAAATTGTAACTTTGATATTGAATTCTCTTGCCTTCAACAAGCACACTGACAGAGAAAACGCTACTGTCTGTTGGTTAAAATATTCTCCCACTGCTAGAGCTTCCTGTTAAGCAAGTGTGGTCTGCAACATTTTTCAACTTTTGCTAGCACTGTATACTATTGCATTCTTAGGCTACTGTGAGGTCCATGTTTCTTGTACCAGAAATTGTCCTTTTGACTTCTAGATCCTTCTTCCCTAATGTGTTTTGTATGTGGTTATAAAATTGTAGACTTTTGTGATTTTGCCAAAGTTGTAGCTAACTATTTATACACTTGTCTTGAATTTTTTTCAGATCCACTTAAATATTTAGAAAAAAGTTTTATTCCTTATGCGTCTCATAAGGAGTGAAATGGTCTCCATTCGACACTTTTCCATGAACACTTGCAGTTGCTAAGGGACTTTATTTTGTAACATATCAATTATAAATATTGTATTTATCTTTGAAATTTTGTACATTGCTTTTCCCGCCCACGTTGGTTTTCTTTTCCTCGTCCACGTTGGTTTTGGGTCATGGCCTGGTGCGATGCTGGGAAGAGCATTAAGCCGAGAACTGTCTCTCTGATCTGCTTCCTCAGAAAGAACCGTGCCCTTGCAGTTCATGTGTACGTAAAGAATTTGCTATTGTTTAAGACTTTCCATCATTTTTTTTTTTTTATTTTGAGGAAAAGTCAAATTCATTGTTTATTTTTATATTATTTTTAAGTTATCTGAGCAAATACTTTTGAAAAAAGTTTGTTGTATAGTCAAAAGAAAACGGTGCCACCGGCTGTGACAAGTCCTCGTAGATTCCGTGCATGTGGAGCGGCCGCGGAGAGGCGACACCGTTTGGGGCTGTGTCCTTATTTTATTTTTTTGTAGAATGTAAAAAGTCATTTTAGCTGCCACCCATGACTTTGCCACATAGCTGAACTGTGTTTACTGGAAAAATTCAGAGGCCTAAAGTTTAAAATAAAATTTACTTCTGACGTTTTAATTAAAATGTTTGCCACATTAACTTCTCTGATGCCTTAAAAGTGGACTTCTTTAAAAGGAAAAAAGAAAAAAAACACCTCCGTGCTGTTTTATCACAGGCTCACACAATTGTTAATCAGTTTTTCATTTGGAGACTTGTGGTGTCAAACACACACACGAACAAAAGCACAAACCTGGCGACTCGTGTGTCACCCCTTCCTGCGTCCCACGCTGCTGCGTCCTGCGTCCTTCCGAGCTCAGGTTCACAGAGGGTTCGAGGAATCAGAGTGACTGCTGGCTTGTAAATTTTTTTTTTTTTTAAACAGTACTTTTCTGTGTAGTCACCCCCAGCAGCACTGTCTGTACTTTTTAAACTGAGATGACCTCGTTCAGGTCCTGTGCCTGTCCGTGCCAAACCCGCAGAGAGACCACAAGGGTCAGCTCCCCCCACACACCCCCCACCTCCGCCCGCCACGGCGCGTTGCTCTGCGGATACGGCACAGCAAACGTTTTGCAGACTGCAGCAGAAATCAAATTTAAAACAAAAAGGAGGGACTTTTTAAAAACTTTCTTAACAAAACGAAACAATGCACAACTTAGTAAAGTGTTCAAGGGACTCGATAAACAAACAATGTCCCCAGTGGTCAGCAGGTCACAGCCTGGCCCCGTGATGGCCGACAAGGCTTAGCTACGTGGAAAAGCCTGAGAAGTGACTTTGGAACTAAATTGCCTCCGTCTCATTTTGTATAAGTCAGGGTTTGATCTAAAAACGAGCTCACGTGTACCTGTTAACGTTTGCAAGTTCCTTCATACCTGCACTTGGTTCGTGTTTTAGGTGATTAGTCAACACGCCCTCATCGCTTCATTGTCTCGAAACCGAGCGCTTCCCGAACTGGTAGATCTTGCTGTTTAAAGACCCTACAATAAGATGGTTTATCTGTACATTTTTTCAGATATTTAACTGTATAAAAATGTTCATTTTACACAATATTTAATTAAAGTATTTCTTGTCTGTGAGTTTCACTTTGGGTAACTTTATGTTTCGATGATTAAAACGACTGGGTGGACACACGCGGAAGCCCTCGGGCTGCCATCTGCATACCTTGGGACCCAAGGCTGCATCCTGGCCAAGACAGAAGTGATTAAGTCACAGACGAGCCTTCGAACAGAGTGACCGACCCACACACTCACGCACCTGTGGAGAGAGACACGTGTAGCCATGTAGATGGCTTGGTCCCCCCCTGCGTGTGTGGCGCCCTGACACTCGACTGCACGTGACTGTCAGACGCGGGGCCCCAGCAGCTCTGTGGCACCCAAACAATCATGCAGCCCCCTGGGCTAGGTCGCCCTGCCCCCTGCTTCTGAACGGAGGGGTTGGCAGGCAGCAGGTGCTCTGACCCAGCGCCGTGCTGCATAGGGGCAGGAAGCGGCCTCAGGGCAATGTGTCGGCAAGGGCTCTGGGGGCGGGGGTGGGGGACACCGGGGCACCAGACGCCTGTGCCAGCCGAGGTCTGACAAGATGACACCACGCCACCTCCAACCCCAGGTCCACTGACGTGGCATAACAGACCTCACGCGCTGCACGGGCCACCGTGGGCCGTGCGTGGACGGAGCCGGAGGCGTCGGCTGCAGTGAGATCGGCCGCCAGCTCCGAGGCTCTAATCCGCACGGCGACGGCTGGCTCCCGCGTGGTTTCGGCGCGCCCTCCATGTCGTTCTCCAGTTGCTCCTGAATGGGAGGCTGGTTTGCATGTTTTGGCTCGCAGCTCCATAATACATACGCTCAAGTGTGATCCAAATTAGCCCTCACAAAAGTCCTCTTAATTACTTGTTCTGCTGAGCAAAACAGGAAACAATTATTCAAAACATAAAGAAACTTGTGAATGCCTTTCTCTCCCGTCAGTGACAATCAGCCTCCTTTGAGTGCATTCTTGTTTCGGCCTTAAAGAGACAGCAGAGAGGGACTCATGGGGGTACGAAGCTGCAGCCCTCCCGCACCCCGCTTCCCTCCCCCAGGCTCCCGCCCACGTGCTGGGGGCGGGGCCGGGGACACGATTCACCCCCTTTCCTTCTCTGAGCCAGTGACCAGCCCGGGGAGGGGGCCCAGGGGCCTCCCTGGAGCAGGCTTTCGGGGCCCTGTAACCGGGGGAGAAATTATTTTCTGTTTGTGTTTCGTTTTGAGTCCGAAGCGAGAAGTACGATCTCTCGGAACGTGTGCCAATTATTGTCAGGCCGCCTTTTAAGGCCTTTCGAGCTTTTAAAGATTATTCAAAGCACTCGAAATGGGCTTCAATCTAATGCCTCATTTCATTACATTAAACAGCCTAGTTAATAAAGAATCGATATATTCAGAGGGCAAGGTTATCTTTTGTCTATAAGGGGTGGTGTCGTTCTGAACCTTTTATAGTTCAAATGCTGAAAAAGACCTCACGGAATCCATACCCATCAAGTGGGTCGACGGGAAGAGGCCCCCCGCCCCCACGCAGCAGCCTTATCTCCCCGCTGGAGCGCCCACGGAAGTCCTCAGAAAATGTCAATTTCTCATCAAGACAAGAGGCCACGATGATCAGTTTTTCCAGAGAATGCAGACAATTAAGAGAAGGCAGAGGCGGCTCCGCGGCCATTTGGAGCGGCCACTGTCCTCGGAGCCGCGTGCCGCCCCCCCCGCCCCCCGCAGATAATAAGAGCTGTTGATAACTCAAGTGTCAATATGCCAGAGAGGGACTTCTGAATGTGAGTCCTTGTGCTCCAGCTCCGCGATCTCAGGCCCGATAACGGCCCAGCTGCCCACGGGCCCCCGGGCGGGCCTCACAATTAACGCGCCCAGCAAGTCACACAAAAGAGCAGGCCGCTCTATGCTGGTGAGACAATCCCGTTTTACCCTTCAAGGGCTCCTTTTATGTCGGAATAAGGTTGCTTTTAATGAAATTTAAACTCATCAGAGGAAATCAAAAACCTCCAATCAGATTACAAATTGATTTTTTGGTCATTTGTCATTTCCCAGTGTGGAGCCGCAGGGTTCACAGGGAGCCGGTGTGCACGCAGCTCCCGGGCCCGGGGGCAGACAGGAGCGGCTCGTCACCCCTGTGTGGGCTCGGACACGGTTCTGACTCTGCCCACCACCCGGCTCTGAACCCACCAGGGCCTCGCCAGGCAGAACGGACAGTGGCTTCCGGGTGTGCAAGCACGATCCATCGGTGGCCAACAGAGACACGTTCTCTTGGGGTTGTGGGCAGTTTGGGATCGTACCCGTGTCTAGAATCTGTGCTGTCGCATCCACGAGCAAGTCACGCACAGAGCTTAGGACCTGGGGTGGCGAGAGAACTCGGCCGGCTCCTCTCAGACTTTACCCTGAGCCCAAACGCCACTCTCGGACGAAGCCGGCCCTGCCTCGCAGGCCGATGGGGGTCCCTCCGCGGGACGCACCCAAGGCCGCCAGCGCCAGCCTCCCGGGGTGCTCCTGAGGTACCGGGACAGACTTCGGGCTTCTCGAGGACGAGACTTGGCCGTGACCTCCTCACCTTCCGCTCCCGCGTTGGGGGTCGAGGCTGAAGGGTCCCGAGAGCCTGGGACTTAGTGTGGGCGAAGAGCGTTTCGTCCCTCCTGGAAAGACTGGGGCGGGGGACAGACGCGGGTGGCGCGACCTCGGGAGGGCAGTGGACACTCCTGGTCCAAGACTGCTTGGAGCCACCTTTTAACTTATAATCTCTAAGGGAGTCAAATCTCCTACACGGTTTCGCACAGCAGATAAGTGTCCCACCTCCCCGACACCTGCGGCCAGGCGGGGCGCACGCTGGTCACGTCACCGTGTGGGGTGTCCCTGGACGTGCTGCTGGCGCTGGCCTCCCTCCCTCAGGTGACAAGACCGCAGTTTGGAGAATGGAGAAGCAGCCTCAGGCCAGAACGCTGGAGGGACCAGCATTGGCTGCGGTCTCCTCTCCAGACCCCCTGCCCGTCCCTCTGACGGGTTCCAGAGGCCTCTGGCAGCGGAGAGGCTCCCGGGAAGGTCCCAGCCAACCTCACGGGGGACGCATGCCACCCCCAGGGCTAAGGGGCCTGAGTCAGCCAGGCCACCTGCATAGGCTATACGATGGGAACCGGCTTGTCTAGCTGATGTGGGCCGAGGCTCAGGAGCCTTTTGTCAGGACACAGCCAATGGCACATGATGACGACCCAGCAGCGCAGGCAGAGGCCCACGCCCAGGACCTCGTGGCACACGGGAGGCTCCCAAGGAGCCATGTCCCCAGCACTCGTCCACTGCGTCCTCGGCTCACGCGTCCCCCAGTGGGCTGAGGGGACAGATGCCTCTGCTCCAGCCAGTACGTGTGGTGTGGGCGGGGGTGACGGGCCGAGTGTAGGAGCCACTGCCCTCGTGCCGGGACAGGAGGGGTGCAGGCTGGGGCCACTGAGAGCCCCCTACTGCCAGAGGGGCTAGGCCGCAAGGCTGAGCCCGTCAGTCACCTCCCAGCCGCGGCTCGGCGACAGCTTCTGTTACTGCCGGCAAGATGATGATGGGGACAGGACACGGACGAGGAAAAGCAGAGATGACGAAGCGGGTGGCAGAGTGAGAGGCGCTGGACACAACAGAAACAGAGGGTCGGAGGGGAGCCTGGGCGTCGGGCCGCTGCTGTCGCCGTGCTGATGGGCGGACGGCAGCTCACTCGCCTGACGGTGGCTCCTCAGCGTGTTCGGGACCCGGCGCCCACGGTGCCGCTCACCGGAGGCCGAGCCCCCTCGAGCCGCTGCAGTGGGGCCACCCAGACCCAGGCTGGTGTGCGGCTGGGCCCCGGTGCAGAATCCTGCAGCCAACGCGACAGCGGTTTATGGTCCCAAGACACAACGAGCTGCTGCCAATCAGGAAGACCCGGAAGGAAAAACGGGCAAATTCAGTCAACGCACGAGGGAACGAGAGATCGATAAGCTTAGGAAAATATTTGCGCTCACTTAAAAATGAGTATCAGGCTAAAATCATGGGCTGAAAGAAATTTTTGTCACTTGTAAAATTAGAAAAGATTTTTCTTAGAAGGTAACAATCCTGTCAATGGAGAAAGGCGCTTTCTTGACGGCCGCCTCTGCAAACCCTGTGCTCGTGGCCTCCGACCCACTGACTCACCGCCAGGAATCGACCCTGAGGAGTAATCGCGGATTAGATAAGACTGTACGCACGAGGATGTTCGCCGCTGTGATATTTATTTAAAAAGCTGGAAAGAACCCAAACATCTAACAGTAGGAATCGTGAACTGTACTACGGTCTAGCCACATAGCAGAGCATTACGTATTTTACTAAGCTTTTAAGATCATGTTTCTAAAGTATATTTAATGAAATGGTACATACTAATGACAAAATTAAGCGGAGCAAGCATATAATACTGCGTATGTAACACAGCATAATTGCAACGGGTAGATTTCTGCAGAGAGAAAAGAAATGCGTGTTTGGAAGAGATGTGGGAGAATTATAGCAACGCCTGCAGTTGGACCTTGGGAGCCGCAGGCTCACCTGTCACACACACACCTCCAAGCTTTCCGTGACGCGGGCACGCGGGGCGGCTTCGGGAGCACACGCCCCCTGGGCCCCCGGGAGGATAACCGTTCACCGGTGCCTGACTCAACACCCTGCCTCCTGTCGCCGCCAGCGGGGCAGGGCGCCTGGGTCAGAGCCCATGGGATTGTCCTGTGACAGTGAGGCCAGGTGGCCTGGGGTGCTGGCGCTGTAAGGCCTACGGACGGAGCTGAGCCGCTCCTGGTGGAGGACGTCAGAGCCCGGAGGCTGGTCCACTCAGGGCGGGGTCGCGGGGTCCGGGGAGGGAGCCCCACCAACGGCAGCTGGCGCCCCTGGCCCTGGCTTTCCCAGCATCCCGTGGGGCCCGGTTCCCACATCACCTTATCTGCACTTCCTCAAAGGGATTTCCAAATGATTACTGACCAAATTAGGGAAAAATTATTTTAAAATTAGTGTTATGACAAAATTCCAAAGAACCTACAAAGTATTAAATTTAGCAAGACTGATGGATACAAGGTCAATAGGCAACTAACTATATTTCTGTAACAATAATTAGGTAATGGAATTTTAAAAATTATACCATTTCCGGTAGCATAAAACTATCAGATACCTAGAAAGATAGTTATGTAAGACGCCTGCACGAGAAACCATAAAATCGTTCTGAGAGAAAACGTAAAATCATAATAAGCGGAGGCATAGATCATATTCTTGGATTGGAAA